AAATATAACTGGATATTTCCATTTATAGGTAATAACATCAGGAATTGTTGAACCGGAGAATATCCGATAATATGAGGGGGGGATCAGGAAGTAATTTATTTTTTCTCTACTGGAGCAAATTGGTCCATGCATTATGGGTTTTTTGCCATCCTCTGAGGCAACTGTGGAAGTAGGATTCTGTATATGGAAGTTTTCTATTTATTTATTTATTCATTCTGCTTTTTTTTTCTATTGGTTGAACTTGTTGGGCTTGTTACAACCTGACTTACTATGCAACTATGGATGGGGACAATATAATGCTAGACTTTATACTGTTATTAAAAAATAATGTTCAATAGAAGCTTTTAATGTGTTTAATATATGACTTTATAAACTTTGGAAAGTTTCATCTGGAAACCTAAAAATGTTGTATACCTAGTCATTTATATGTAAGCCATTATTGTATATAAATGTGGTACAACATATATCAAACACACCTCTATTTTCTTGAATATTATTACTAATAATACTACATAATAATATAATTAATATTAAAAAATTTTTTGTAATAAATAAATAATCATGTCATGATATACAGCAACATAAAGCATTTTCGAAGCAGCTTTTCACATTTAAAAGCGGTGCCCAAGCTTTGGTCCAGTGGCTGTGTCTAAGGGGACATTTGGGAAAATATTTGTAGCACACCCGTGGGTGTTAGCAATATATTGGTATATGATGTGGGTTTCACAGCTCTTACCTGGACTGACGACACAGCAGAATCCAATGAAACACACACTGGCTTTAAGAGATAAAATTTCCCTGGGGGATTTATTCCATCTAGAAACAGGGTGTAAATATCACCTATGACTCTAAGCGTAGTGAATCTTAGTAATCGTATTGGATAATCATGTATATTAATTTATGGATATAAGATGTCCTATACCAAACACATATAATAACAAGTATAAATGTTACTACATAAAATAGTTACCAACACTTAACTATAATGAGTGCCAAACACTCCCCTTGTCTCCTGATATCTGACCAGAACAAAAGTTCCAAAAATGCAGTCTCTAGATGGGGCCCGTTGGAGCTCTTTTTAACATAGGTGAACTGTTAAACAGAATGTGGCTAATTTCATCAGCAAATCCTATAAAAATGTCTGAAAAATATAGTAGCAATCCTGGGTAAATGGCTTGTTCTCACTTCAGCACATATCTCTCATTTAGGGATTACTCTGTAATTTCACTGTCTCCGATATATGTATTCAGACTTTGCAGACAACCGAGGGAGACGACACACACTTTACTAGTCTCTGGTGCTGGTAAGATCAGTACAGCAACTTGGTGGGAAATTCCACTGGGTATCTCTCTCTGTGTCAGTGTGTCTCTAAAATGGCGACTCAGCAGAGTAACACCAACCTCATGGAGGGAGTTGCAGACAGCAGTACTCACTTCCTATATGATCTTTCACTCAGTTCAACTGTTCAGCCTCCTCTCAGTCCTCTAAGGTCCTGCAGCTCTGTCTCTGGTGTCCAACAATGACAACGGGTTCCTCTTTTCGCCAGCCCCTTTGCAGTGACCTTCACCTCTCCTCACCAAATCGTCTCTCTCCTTCCCTTTTTACCAGTGTCCTCCCTCCTAGACTTCCTGTGCCAAGCCGATCATAGAGCTGGATCTGGAACTGTTGCTAGTGGCATCTTGTGGCCGAATAAGATATTGCATCAAATTCACATACGGTACTATAATGTCTGCAGTTCTATTATTGGTAATAAGAGGTTGTTACATATTGATAGTCTTACAGGCAAAAGAAAGCTTTTCCTCAGTCTCGACTCTTCATTGAGCACTCATACTGTAACATTTTGAGTTTGTAGCAAATCAAAATGGAAGAGGCAGCAACAGGAAGCTGATCTGTGTGAGACAAGATGTGTAAATATATTTGACTGTCACCTTTGGGCAAAATTTGCAGACCAAGCAGTAGATGCAGACACTGGATGATATCTAAACAAAGACCTACCTTCTACATTCTGGAAAGAACAGAAGATAATTACATTATTAGAATAACTACTGTGCAGGAATGAGAGAAGCATGAGAGAAGCAGACAAAGTTCAATACAAAGGCAGGTTCAGTGCACCCAGGAAAAAAAACATAAAATCACCAAACAACTTGAATATAAAGTGAAATCCCCCGCTGAAGTTTATGGGAACCTTATCTTCTTTGTTTTTTTCTGGCCTTTTTAAGGGTCAGTAAAAAATGGGCAGCTTGGCACTGCCATGGAAAACATATACCAATAGAAACATTTATTATTTAAAAATACAGCTCAGCTGGGAGAGGGTCTTTTAATGTGACTTAAAGGGCAATGCAAAAATCCTTTAACCACTTGCCTACCAGGCACTTATACCCCCTTCCTTACCAGGCCAATTTTCAGCTTTCAGCACTGCCGCACTTTGATTGACAATTGCGCGGTCATGCAACATTGTACCCATATGAAATTTTGATCATTTTTTTCTCACAAATAGAGCTTTCTTTTGGTGGTATTTAATCGCCACTGGGCACTTTACTTTTTGCGCTATAAATAAAAAAAGTGCAAAAAATTTGAAAAAAAAAAAAAGTTTATTTGTTTCTTTTATAAAATTTTTCAAACAGGTATTTTTTCTCCTTCACTGATGTGCGTTGATGAGGCAGCACTGATGGGCACTGATAGGTGGCACTGATGGGCACTGATAGGCAGCACTAAAGGGCACTGATAGGCAGTACTAATGAGGTGGCACGGATAGGCGGCACTGATAGACAGCACTAATTAGGGGTCACGGATAGGCGGCACTGATATGCAGCACTGATAGGCGGCACTGATAGGTGACACTGATTATGGGTACTGATAGACGGCACTGACTGGCATCACTGCTGGGCACTGACTGGAGGCACTGACTGGCACAACCCTTGGGCACTGACTGGTGGCACTGACTGGCAGCACTGCTGGGCTGCACTGGTGGGTGGCACTGGTGGGTAGCACTGGTGGGTGGGCACAGGTGGGTGGCACTGGTGGGCACAGGTGGGTGGCACTGGTGGGCACAGGTGGGTGGGCACAGGTGGGTGGCACTGCTGGGCACATGTAGGTGGCACTTCTGGGCACAGGTAGGTGGCACTGCAGAGTGGCACAGGTGGGTGCACTGCTGGGCACAGGTGGGGGCACTGCTGGGCACAGGTGGGTGCACTGCTGGGCACGGGTGGGCGGAGCTAGTGGGCGCACTGCTGGGCAGAACTTGCGGGTGTCACTGCTGGGCACTGATCATCAGGGCACTGATCATCAGTGCCCTGATGATCGGTGCCGATCCCCGCTCTGACAACTGCTGGTTCTCGGCAGTACTTTCCTCACGATCTGACAGCGTGAGGAAATTGCAGCCGAGAACCGGCACTTGCATTTCCTGTGATCAGCGTGTCATTGGATACCGCTGATCACGTGGTAAAAGGCCGCTGTGATTGGCCTTTTACCACATCACGTGATCAGCTGTGTCCGTAGGACACAGCAATCACGGAGATCGCCGGGTGCGCGCCCCCTGGGGTGCGCAGGAGAGCGCGTTCTGGGAGGACGTCATATGACGTCCACCCAGAACTGGCCGGCCGCGGTGAAGCCGTCATTCGGCTATGCGCGGTTGGCAAGAGGTTAAACATGCTTTAGGAATGCCTCAACTTGAACCTTAGGTTAGATGGCACCTTAGCCACTTGTCCTGCAGAGGATTTACCCCCCTTCCTGACCAGGCCGTTTTTTGCATTACTGCGCTGCGTTACTTTAACTGACAATTGAGCACTCATGCAACACTGCACCCACATTGAATGTGTGACATTTTTTTCTCCACGAATAGAGCTTTCTTTCGATGGTATTTTATTGCCTGTGCATTTTTATTTTTTTGCACTATAAAAATAAAGCCTGACAATTTTGAAAAAAAAAAACAATATTTTTTACTTTTTGCTATGAAACATGTCCATTAAAAAAAAAAAAAAAAAATCAGACTTCATCATAAATGTAGGCCAAAATGTATTCTGCTACATGTCTTTGCTAAAAATCCCAATATGTGTAAATTAATTGGTTTACGTGAAAGTTATAGCGTTTACAAATGGCGGGAAAGATACTGGGATTTTTAATTTTTATTTATACTGATGGTGGCGGTATATATACTAGGATTTTGTTTTGATTTTTACTAGTAATGGCGGTGATCAGCGACTTATAGCTGGACTGCGGCGGGCATTCTGACACTGGGGGGAACTGACTTGGTGTCACTAACATCCCCAGTGACACCAATACAGTGATCAGTGCTAATAAAAAGCACTGACACTGTACTAATGGCACTGGACAGGAATGGGTTAACATGTGGGGCGATCAAAGGGTTAACTGTGTGCTGTTTTACAGTGTGCTGTGTGTGTGTGCTTCACTGCAAGCACAAGCCATGCATAGCTGTGTGCAGGAGATGACAGGGGAGAGAACTGTATTGTTTACTTACAGTTCTCTCTCTCTGTCGTTAATCCTGCTCGATCGCCGGGTGCCGACGACTAATCACTGGCCGAGACCCGGTGATTGACAGCCGAGGTCTTGAAAATGCATAATCATGGATATATACTTGTGATTTTGCACACCCCTGATGCCCTGTAGCAGTATATCTGCTATAGGGCAGCGGGAAATGGTTAATTTAGATGGTATCCTTTAAAAAAAAATATATATATATATTATATAAGATGCCACTAGCAACAGTTCCAGATCCAGCTCTATGATCGGCTGGGCACAGGAAGTCTAGGAGGGAGGACACTGGTAAAAAGGGAAGGAGAGAGACGATTTTGCTCACCTGAAAAATCCCTCTATTCAGTCATTTAGCATCTTTAAGCTCTCCAAGCCTACCCTGCATGACCCACACCGAGACAAAGGAGTAATTCTGGCCTATAGTAGCCATCCCCACATAACTCCCTTCTTTACATTCCACCTGACACCCCAATCCACCATAGGGAGGACTAGACCAGGGGCAGACTGACCATTTGGGCATTGCCCGAGGGCCTGGGGTCAGTAGGGGACCCCATGAGATGCCCCTGGTACTTTTTTCATAGGCTTTTTTGAGTTTGGGCAAGGACACAGGGGCCCTATGATCCCCTATTGCCCGGGGGCCCCATGAGTTGTCAGTCTGCCCCTGGACCAGACTATACTTCTACAGGCCACAGGGAAGAGTAAGGGATGGCCACTCCCTCCCCCCACCACCACTCACCTCTCCCATTACCCCACCCCTTCCCATCACACCCACCCCCCCCTTTTTTCCCTTTTTTTACATTTTTTGTAATTCCACTATGGACCACATGCTATTCACCATCCTTAACCAGGAAGAGCTCTACCTTCCACACCCTATGCAGACTTATTATAAACACCTGCGGAATTCCATTTTCCACCCCTTGTCAGATATGAGCCTGATTACACTCCCTCAGAGGAACACCCACTCCAAATCATACCTAGATCACTCGAACAGGCAGGTCTGTACGTGAAACTTGCATTCTAGGGATCGCCCAATCATCACCCCCATGGCCTTCTGCCAGAGGCTTAAATAGAACACCAATCCCTGGCTGGAGACTTGGTTCATGGTACATTTAAGTACATTTAAGCTTTCGGGTTGGTTTGACAAAAAAATATTTATCTGGTCGTTAAAGTTTTCCAATATCAAGCTTTCGTGCCTCAATCAATTTGACAAAATTGTCTCTCGTGTATGATGTCTTGTAAAAAAATATTCTATGGTTGCTCTTGTTCACAAAATACCATGGTGTTTGTTTTCTCCAAAGTTCTGGTAGAGAAAAGACAGACAGATTTTAGTGCACATTATTCAAACATCACATTGCACTAAAAAATAGGTTATTATTTTTAGATCACAGAGTCAAAATATTTCTTAGGCAGTGCTAGTCATGCAACACCAAGCTGCTGTGTCAGGTCAGTTAAAAACACAATCTCCATCATATACTGTGTTTTTCTTTTTTTACCATTAGAAAATACAGTAAATTAGTCTCAGTAATTAGTACTCAGTAATTTACTTTCCAATGTGTTATTGCTAGTTAACAAATAATGCCCATGTTTTATCATGAAGTCATATTATGAAAGAGATTCTGTTATAAGTATATATCTTAGGATCTTAAATCCACAGCTTACATTGGTATTCAGACAGTGAATATAAAAAGACTACACATCCCTGTTAAAATGTCAGCTGTCTATGATGTAACAAAAAAAAATTAGACAAAGATAAATAATTTCAGAACTTTTTCCACCTTTAATGTAACCTATAAACTGTACAACAAACTGAAATCTTTTAGGTAGAGGGAAGTAAAAATAAAAAACTAAAATAATGTGGTTGCATAAGTGTGCACACCCTTAAACTAATACTTTGTTGAAGAACCTTTTGATTTTATTCCAGCACTCAGTATTTTTGTGTATGAGTCTATCAGCATGGCACATCTTGACTTGGCAATATTTACTCACTCCTCCTTTGCAAAAACACTCTCTTCAGATCACCTCACAGATTTTTGATCGGATTCAGGTCTGGGCTCTGGCTGGGCCATTCCAAAACTTTAATTTTCTTCTGGTGAAGCCTTTTCCTTTTTTGATTTGGATGTATGTTTTGGGTCGTTGTCATGCTGAAAGATGTTCAGCTTTCTAGCAGAAGCCTGAAGGTTTTGTGCCAATATTGACTGGTATTTGGAACTGTTCATAATTCCCTCTACCTTGACTAAGGTCCCAGTTCCAACTTAAGAAAAACAGCCCCAAAGTATGATGATGCTGTCACCACCATGCTTCACTGTGGGTATGGTGTTCTTTAGGTGATGTACAGTGTTGTTTTTGCACCAAACATATCTTCTGGAATTATGGCCAAAAAGTTCAACGTTGGTTTCATCAGACCATAAGACATTTTTTCCTACTTGCTTTTGGGAGACTTCAGATGTGTTTTTGCTAAATTTAGCTGGGCTTGGATGTTTTTCTTTGTAAGAAAAAGCTTCCGTCTTGCCACTCTACCCCATACATATGAAGAATACGGGAGATTGTTGTCACATATACCACACAGCCAGTACTTGCCAGATATTCTTGCAGCTCCTTTAAAATTGCTGTAGGCCTCTTGGCAGCCTCTCTGACCAGTTTTTCTTTTCTCCACTTGATGATGACTGTCTTCACTGTGTTCCATGGTATATCTTTTGCCATGAAAATTCTTTTGTACCCTTCTCCTGACTGATACATTTTAACAATGAGATCCCTCTGATGCTTTGGAAGCTCTCTGTGGACCATGGCTTTTGTTGTAGGATGCAACTAAGAAAATGTCAGGAAAGACCTACTAGAGCAGTTGAACTTTATTTGGAGTTAATCAGAGACACTTTAAATGATGGTAGGTGTGTACTGACTCCTATTTAACATGATTTTGAATGTGATTGCCTAATATTGCAAAAAAGCTACATCCCCAGTTATAAGAGGGTGTGCACACGTATGCAACCACATTATTTTAGTTTTTTATGTTTACTTCCCCCCATAAAATATTTCAGTTTGTTTTTCAATTGAGTTGTACAGTTTATAGGTCACATTAAAGGTAGAAAAAGTTCTGAAATTATTTATCTTTTTCTCATTTTTTTTTCATCACAGAAATCTGACATTGCAAGCGTGATATGAGAAAGGACGCAGCTCTAACCGCTCGTGGAATCTTGTATGAAGCCCCAACAGTATGGAATGAGCTTTTCTTGCAGGATAGAGGTAACTTGAGCAAATGATCTTCTGGTGCGGGCTGTAGCAGCCAAGATATCAGAGAAGATAGAGATTGCTGTGTAGGGTGCTGGCAGTGCATTAGTGGCTCTAGTTGCTTTGAGAAGTCTTTCCTTTATGTGGAAGAAGTGTATTCTAGCCAGAACATCTCTCAGGATGCCATCAGGGAGGTGCTGTGGCTTTTGGATTCTGTGTGCGCGGTCAATCGTGAACTCTCGAGTAGAAAGGTTGCGGGTAATCGTGCGAAATAGCTGTTGTAAGTGTGGGATAAGGTCAGCAGGTTTAATGGATTCAGGGATACCTCTGAATTTTAGATTATTTCACCTAGAGCGATCTTCAAGGTCCACTAGTTTGAGTTGTATTTGTTGAATATGGCGGCTAGATCATCCTGAGTATCAACCACCGCATTGTGAGTGTGAGCCATTTCAGACATCTGTTGTTTAGTCGTATTCAGGGGCGGACTGACAACTCATGGGGCCCCTGGGCAATAGAGGATCATGGGGCCCCTGTATCCTTGCCCAAACTAAAAAAAAGCCTATGAAAAAGGTACCAGGGGCATCTCATGGGGCCCCCTACTGACCCCGGGCCCTCGGGCAGTGCCCGAGTTTCCAAATGGTCAGTCCGCCCCTGGTCGTATCTGTGCGTTCTTCTATGTGTTGCATTCTGTGGTGTATTTGTTGAAGGGAGATTCTTAAATCTTTCTGTATGTCCGCTTGCAGCATGAGGAGCATAGATTTTAGGGTATTTTCAGATGCTGGGTTGTTGGATGTGGGAAATGCGGCTAAGGCTGTGTATGAGCCTGCAGCTGCATCAGGGAGTTCATTATCTGTCCCATGTTGTTTTTTATATGCAGGGGATTTAGCTGGGGAACAAGCAGGTGATTCTGCAGCTCTATATATAAAAAAAAACCTCAGTGCAATATGGTGTTAATGATTATACAGTTGAATAAATATATATATAGTGTGGCGCTCAGAATAAATATATAACAATCAATAACTGGTTAATAAGTAAATATACCATAAAATACCAATAATACCTCAAGTGATCACACTCTAAAATATCAAAGTGTATCAAATAAATAAGTGCATCAATAAATGACTCAAGTGTTCACACTCTAAAATGTATCAAGTGACTAAAAATGAATCACATGCTTATAATTAATAAAAATCAATACCAACTTAATACTAAGTGTGAAAGTGCCAAATAATAGTGCCAAGGATATATAAATGTCCGTTCCTTCAAAACCAATCGAAAGTAATATTCTTCACGTGATAAATAAGTTCATGCAATAAATAGTGATAATCGATAAGTGATTTGTGCCAAAATCTTCTCCAAACAATAGCTGAAGTGCCTCCTCACCTCCTCCCTGCGACCCCTAAGGGCAGCAGGCTTGTAGGATCAACCTGGATCCTAGAATCAAAGAAAGCCAACCGCTTTTTCTTCCTTCTTTCTCTTTCCTGGTGGGACTCCTATTTCCCTTACGCAGCTCAGGTGCCTTAGAGAACAATAGCTCACCAATCCAGTGAGCCAAAGAAGAAACACCCTCTAAGTGTAGTATTAACGACTCCTTTTATTTCAAAAAAATGCAAAGTGATAGAACTCACATATTCCAGCAGTCCTCCCTCCTCACCGATGTGTGGGTACACTGCATGTAAACCGGGACTTCCTGGTGTAGCAAGATGGCGTTACACGCCGGAAGTGCGTCACCGCGCACCGGAGACTGCGCACTCGTAAACCTACGCGTTACGTCACGTACAACTCGTGACTTCCTCGGGGTAGCAGCAGATAACGGACACAATTCCTCCCTATATACTAAACCAATCAACCCTCATTGGTCGCGGTCCGCCTCTCACATAGTCGGCGGTAACCGCGCCATTTTTCAGAAGACTAATTTCATTCTGACCGCGGCCATTTTATTGGTGTCATTCCAAACAGACATTTATATGGGGACATAATTAAAAAACGCCTTGTGTTTCACATAAAAGAAACTACATTAAGTAACATGCTTTTTAAGGAGCCCTAATGGATATGTATAAAATAATGAGATATAATTAAAAAAGGAAACAAGATGACAACCTTTAATTTAAAATCATCTATTCCCTTAGAACATATACCAAAAATCTATATAAAAATAAATATAAAATTATGACAGAAGTCTATACGGAAAAAATGTATGGAAAAAATGTATGAATCCAGGAATAACCTATAAAAATAATTACTCATTAAAAATTGATCATTAATAATACCTAAATGCCATTTAAACTAAGATAAGGTAAAAAAGGTAAAAAAATCAAATCCCTTCTACCATGTAATCTACCCACACATTTACAAAATAAAATCTACCTCTATATATAATATAGTATAATGTGCTCTGTCATTGATATCCATCAATGATTTGTAAAATTATGAAACATTTAAAAAATATTAAAATTATGAATGCCAGCAAATAAATCAATATACCAATATATATGCTCGTATAAATGTCAAACAACAATGAACTTGCTATAACCTCAAAAATCACTTATAAAGCAATTCAAGTCAAATTCGACATTTAACCCTTTGGGGACCTGGGTGTTCATGTA